GAAACTTTAAAAGTTTCAGCTGAAGAAATCGCTCCTAGCATCTCACAGCTCGTTGTTGAAAATTGTAACGTTTGAATGACAGAACATCTGTCCCAAACGCATCATCAGTGTCTTACGATGGAAAAGGACGAACGGTTATGTTTATACTTTGATCGTGCTCTGGAAAAGGCTTCGGACACAAAAGTGATGGAGGGTTTTACGGAAAGTTTAAACGATATGAAAGTGTACGACTTCGGATTAATTGAGTATACGGAGGACGACTGGAAAACTTTCTTTTGCGTGAAACACAAACGGGCATTGAAACACGTGATCTTTCAGTTATTGTAACCTATAAAAGGCACGATGTCTGTACAGATTTCATTCATTGTTGGACAGCGTCAGGATGACTATCGACGTACTATTTTTCGCTAAAGAAAAGCTTGTGCTTCGTCTCAATATGTGCAGATCTAGTTTGGGCAATAAAATCTTAAACGAAGTGACCAATGAAGAATTGGAAAGAAACGGATTTCCGTTTTACTACGACGTTAAAATAGTTACCAATCAGGAATTCGTCGAAAAGTTTCGTACGCATGCGTCAAACACGGATTCTTCAAACAAAGAATCAATACAAACATTTCTACAGACTTTGACGTATTGGGAAAGTTTGTTGATACATTGCACATTGTTATGTAACCAAAAAAATGTAACAATCTGAAAATCTATGAAAGCTCTGACCTTTTCCGATTTTTGATCATTTGAAGCAAACATGGTCTGTAAAAGCATCATACCAAAAGGATGGTGGGATGCAAACACTGTGGAAAATCAATGTCATCTGATGGATGCCATATGTGCAGAAAGATTCATATTAGAATGTTAGGAATCCAAGTGTGAATATGTACATTTTAACACCTAACCAGGAACGACTGCGAAAAATGAAGCACAAGGTCATCTGAAGTGCAAGAATCTAAGTCATGAAGTCCACCTTATCACAACCCGCACACCCGATTACCTTCATATACATGAACTTACGGTTACAGCTTAACAGCTGACCTCTGCAGCTCAGTTGGTGAGAGCGCTGCACCGGAATCGCAGGGCCGTAGGTTCAATTCCTACCAGAGGACCTTGTACTGCATTTTTCGCAGTCGTTCCTGGTTAGCTCTTAATTTAATTAAAATGTATATATTCTCACTTGGATTCCAAACCCTAACATTCTAATATTAATTCCACCAAGTGAAGTGCAAGAATCTAAGTCATGAAGTCCACCTTATCACAACCCGCACACCCGATTACCTATATATATATATATATACATGAACTTACGGTTACAGCTTAACAGCTGGCCTCTGTAGCTCAGTTGGTTAGAGCGCTGCATCGGAATTATTATTATTATTATTATGAACTATATTTCAACACGGTACAATTTCACCTATACTAAAATTAATTGTGTACAAGATATAAAAAGAAAAAAAGGTGATCCTCCAACCGGCTGTGCTCACACAAACAGAAATAAGAAATAATGGCAAGAAAATTATTTTATGTAGATGGAAACAATGGCAGGATCACTTGATGTTAATTTGCATGCGTCAAGTTAGACTTAAAATTAGCAATAGTTGTTGATGCTTTTACCGATCCAGGAAGCAGTTCCAGACTTCCGCACCTCTGTAGGAGAATGCATTTTTCATACTATTTGTTTTTGGTTTAGGCATTGTCAAATCGGCTCCCGACTGTCTTGTGTCATGGTCGTGTACATCACCCACATTTGTGAACACATCACACAAGTAATCGGGGACCAATTTGTTTTTCACCTTGTACATGACAATTGAAAGTTGTTGCATTCTTCTTTTTTCGAGGTTCGGGACTTTTAGCTTGTTTAATATATCAGCCGATCGTGTCGTATAATTCTCACGAGTGATTATTGGAAACGCTCTGTTTTTTAATTTTTGGATTTTAGCTGCTAATGTTTTCCCTAAGCAACCCCACACTTGAGCACAATAATCGAATTATTGTTATTAAGGTGTTGAATTCGACTGTATCCCGGAGTCGTCTGAGAATAGCAAGGCCTGAAGTGACCTTTTTTGAAATGTGTTCGACCTGCGCTGTCCAGTCTAAAGACTCGTCTATCATTAGGCGCAATGATTTTGTCATTTCAACTCTCTTAATTTCTAAATTACCTACACTGATAGCAGGATCGGCAGTCACTTGACTAAGCCTTTTCTTGGAACCAATTATCATATATTCGGTTTTACTATTGTTCAGAGTTAATTTGTTTGCCAACAACCAATTTGGAAAATTGTTTAAATCTCTATTTAAAGTTGCCGTGATAACGTTGATAACGTCACTTGATATTGCAAATTGGGTATCATCCGCAAACATATCTGGTTTTGTCCCGGCGTTTAAACATTTTGGTAAAACATTGATGTAAATTAGAAATAACAATGGGCCTAAACCAGAACCCGCCGTACCCCCATTGGGCATTTCAACATGGACCAAACTGACTTTGACACTGTCGTTTAGACGAAATTCATGGTTGGATTGAATGACACGCTCAATTTGAGCTAAAACCCGCTCTGTTGTCAAACAAGAAAGAGCCATGGAACGAAGAGAGATAGGTTTTTCAAACTGAGGTAAATGCAACACAAATGAAGAACGTTCGTGGAACTGAGAAAGCTCCAAATGAGCAAACGTGTCCGTGAATTGCACCGTATAGTCCGTACCTGCGGTTCCAAACTTTTTCACTTTAACTTGCTTGACATTTGTCACAGTAAAGTTATTTTCAGCCGTACTCGACTCCGATCTTTTCTCGCCACGACCCGTTTGAAGCAATAGTTCATCGTCGCACCAGTCAAGCAGAAAACGTTCCCTCTCTTCAGGTGACCAGTGTTGTGTGAAATCCTCGGTTGCCATCATCTGTTGTAAAGGTTCGTCGTCGTTCCAGTCAAACATAAATCGCTGCCGTTGTTCAGGCGTCCAGGAATCAGAAAATTTGCTGTAAATCCTTGTTGCTCGTTCTCAATTCCCCATTCTAGTAAACGACTGATTATCTCGATTTTCTTCGCGTACACAAGTCTTTGTTCAGCCTCGCTCAAAACATACATGTTTTCCAAAGCATTAAGTTCAGGAACCGTTTGACAATCTGATATTTTCGTATCCATATCTAAACAACAATTTAACTGTTTTCCAAAAATCCAACTAAAAATTCGAGATGCTACGATTAAAAATATACACTTACCGAAGCCATTCTCAGCACTGTAAAAGTTCTCTCACAAAAATATAATCTGTAAAAGATTTCCAAACAAAAGTTCTCGTTTATACAGTTAAGACATTATGACAAAACAATACACAACATCCCAGTATTTTTCCAAAAGATCATGTTATGCGACAAATATTATGAGACAAACGTTTGCTGACTGGCTCTCAGTATTATTGCAAAAGATCACGCGACAAATGTAATGCGACAAAATGTTCCAAAAATGACGTCACTTCCGCCGCCATATGGTGGACTTCATCTACTTTCATGTTGTCTCCTCTAGTCGCTATGTTGTTTAGTTGAACGAGAAAATAATCATGAAGAAGTTCGATGAAGGTACTCTCGCTGACTCCCGTAGTTGTTTTCGGCGAGTTCCATGAGATCTGTTGTAGATTAAAATCTTCTGCGAGTATAATATTTGCATGGTTAGAGCAAACACCCACTAGAAAGTTATTAAATCTTTCCATCCAAGTCTGTTCCTCGTTTGGAGGACGATAACATGAAGCAACAAGTAACTTCATATCAGAGGCAGTCGTTAATTCAGCTACGGTAACTTCTATGTTACAGTTGTGTTTGATATCTCGCACAGATTTAAAAGAAGATAAGTTTACAGCGACCAAACCTCCACCTCCACGAGATTTTCGATCGTTCCTGAATATCGTGTAGCCCGAGTGTAAAATTTCTATGTTATTTGGCCCAGTGTCCTCCCTCAGCCATGTTTCGTTCACACGGACAATGCCACTGTCCTCAGTGTAAACTAAGGTCCGGAAGCGCTCCATATTACTACAATCCCCTTCGCTATTGTTTACTCCGTGAAAGCTTGTTAAGCTTCTAGCATTAAGTGCAAGACATTTCACTGATCGCTTGTTAACGTTGTTTGGTAAAGAAGAACAAAGACCAGGATTTCTCGCCACATCGCCAGCCAATAGAATACATAAAATAACATGAAGTAACTTACAATTGGTTTGTATTTTAAGTCCGTAGCGATGGTTGTGTGGGTAGTTAAGTTTTCTTTGCTTAAAATCCCGAGTAGAGGTCCAAATACAACACAAATTCTCCGGTAAAGGAACAAGTACAGAGTTAATAATTATTCTATTTAAACTGCTCTCTTGATAAGGATGATCAATTCTTAGTTTTAAACACAGCCACAGAATTGTCACGATTAACATCAAACATTTCACTCCGTTAGTTATTAGGACAAAAATCCCGTAATTTCGAAAAGAGTTTCCGGCGAATTCCGTACGATTTCGTCCACTAATTAGCGATGCACACGCGCATAGTTTGAAAGTGCGCGCTGTCGTCAGCATATTGATGGCGATTGTATACGATCACGCGTATAACCAACTGAAGAAACGATTTTAATTACAATTTCAGATCCAGTGACCAAATCCTCGTAAATTTGTTACTTTTTCGTGAAATATAAATACAAAAACCGTTCGCAAACCTCAGAACACGTTAGACAATGCTTTTATCCACAACTTTTACTCAAATTTGTATCCAATCTTGAGTGTTAAAGAGAAAAAAAAACAAAGAGTTTTCCAGAGCGCTTCGCGAGCGTGCGCACGCGTCTGGCGCGATTACGAAGCTCATATTAAGTAGATCACCAGCAAGACCCGATATAGTTGAGATATATGCTGCATTTCTGTATAAGAATATCATGTTCAGCAATGGTGTTTCGCGTTTTAGATACATCGCATTGCCCTTCAACAAAATCTGTTACCCTATTGAGATTGTCAGTTAGCGCTCATCATTTCTAAATTTATGTTCTGCTCTAGGTTCAGTGACGTGTCATGGAAATATGGTAAAGAACGTGAACTGTCCTAAAGATCAGTACATGGTGGTTAAGAATGCATCGTACCGTGGATTGGCTACCACAAAGACATGTGGTCTGAGTGACGATTATAGTTGTGAAGCTAATGTAACATGTATTGTTAAGAAACAATGTGATGGTGAACATGAGTGCAAATTAATTGTGGATGAGAAGTTCTTCTCTGGTTATCTGTGTACTGAATTGAAAAAATATCTTTACTTTGAATATCAATGCGTTGATACAGCGACGCCTTTTAATGAACATTGTGTTGTGTATACTGAGTACTGCCAATAGAGAGGTTTAAATTTTACTTCCACTATAGCTACTTGTCGGTGACTTAAGAGCGGTTGTCTGTAATAGTCAGGTAAGACGTGTAAAATGATAAAATTCCAAATCCTTCAAATTTTGTCAGAATGTAGGCCTATATGAAGTATTAATGTTGTGAAAGTTTTATTTCGATCGGATAAATATTGAAGGAGAGAGACGTCGAAATTGGTTTTCCCAGGCCACTTCGGTTTTTAGAGGTCATTTTACGGCACCACCAAAATCACTGTATTTTGCACGATAGTGGGAATATTTCACAAAATATGATTTCGTTTTATAAATTAGAGTTATTTATTGAGTAGCAGACGAAATTTAGAGACATTACTTTCAAAAGTGAATATTTTACAGATTTTCTTAATGTTTTATATTTTCGAACCTCTTTATTGTATGCCATATTATGCAGCAAATATCTCCTTTGTTTCATCGATTCAGACAAAAAACTCATAACCAGCTCAAAGAAATATGTTTTCGCTTGCTATTGATGAAATAACATTTTGGGGCAACTTATAATTGAATTTTTGACGATTTTTTCGTTACCCCTATTTGACCCGAATAACCGTATGTTATATAATCAGCGTCGAGTTATGTAGTTCAATAAATAACCAAAGAGCTCGTCAAAAGCGTTTATTTCTTCGAGTAAACAAGCCCAGGCCTATAAAACTACCTTAGCTAAAGCTGTACGATTGATTAGAAGCATTTAGGTCTAAATCACACTGTTTACCTCCGCTTATTTGTTTGAGGTAATGCCCGATAGCCGGTGCCGTTGATTTGGCAGATTTGTTTCAATTATATTTCATCAGGGATATGCCGCGAGAAGTATATGGCGAGTATATTTTCTCTCCCCCTCCCATAAACATGTGTTCTCTCACGACTTGTCGTGCTTATATACTTTTCGTACATAAATAGTGCACGCGCTTTCTGTCAAAAACATCGCATTGTTTTGACGTATTTTTAGTCGTATTTCCGGTTGGCGTAACTCATTTCGGGCTTCGAGCTCACAGCCGGACAAGAAATGGAAATACCGTGATAAAAGATGCAAATTTGAAGATACAGGCTTGCAAATAACACTCTGAATAGTGTTTTTATATGGGGATTCGAACAAGACTATTACAAAGGCAATATGTTTGAAGATGCCGAAGTTATTTTCGGCGAAATGTATGGCTAGTCTTATTTTTGTTCGGACAATCGCGTATTAAATTTGATAGTATACGATCGCCTTAGACTTTCAAACTCCCATAAATCGCTACAATGTTAATAATGACTATAAATATCGTTTGGAGTTAGTTGATCTTTTATTTCTGAATCGAATGGCGGTATTTCTGTCTTCATAGCGTGCACTGAATCGAAGATATGAAATTTCTAGCCGTCAACCTCTCGAGGACGACCTCACAAAGAGTTTTAATTTAATTAATATTAAAGCTGGATTCTTTCAACGTGATGTCATGCCAAAAGGTGTCTTTTCTATTTTTAAAAAAGACCCTCTATTGATTTGTGATTTGGTAATATTAATTACAGTTGTATATTTTATTATTTTGTGATTGCTCAATAGACAATAACTTTGAATTTGTTCTGAGAAACAGTCGAACTTCAGATCAAACTTCAACGCAGTTAGTAGTTTAACTGGCCATTACTTTATTCAACAAGATAAAGCCAACGTGTACGGGTGAGTTATCCATGAAATAAATAGTTGGTTTACAAAATGAATTCAGTCTTCGTGGATAAAAATGAGTTACAAAAAATCTCTCCTGTATGCGTTAAATGCTAGATGTAGGGATTTCCCCACGGTATATCCTTCTCTTTTGTATTGGCTGTTTGTTATACGCGTCTCTTGTCACTGGGTATGGCAGTTTGTGATTACGCGTCTCTTGTCACTCTAATCCAGACGATTCAGAATGCGACGTTCTTTGGGAAAAACGTTCCAAAAATTATTTTTGCGATAATGGGGGGTTCAAAATACTATTCAGACCTTTTTCGACCTCAATTTTCCGAACACGTTGCTCAATTCCAGCATTCCAGGCCCCCTCTGGAAAAGTTGGGCCCTCTTTCAAGTTGACTTATTTTTGGACTGAGTACTGCCTGTGTTCTAGATGTATCATCCGTAAATGGGTGGATAAATGTAATTGAAATTGGACCAAAAGTATATGTCAGATAACGCGTAACCACTAACCACAAACAGCAATACAAAAGAGAAGAAATATACCGGGGGAAATCCCTACATGCACAGGAGAGATTATTTATAACTCATTAATTTTATCCACGAAGACGGAATTCATTTTGTAAACCAACTATTTATTTCATGGATAACTCACACGTACACGTTCACGTTTTCTTTATCTTCTTGCTGTTTTCAAAGTGATGGCCAGTTAAAACTACTAAATAAGTAACTGCGTAGAAGTTTGGTCTGAAGTTTGACTGTTTTCTTAGAACAAATTCAAACTTATTGAGTACTAACAAAATAATCAAATTTACAACTGTAATAAATATTACCAAATCATAAATCAACAGAGGGTCTTTTTTAAAAATAGAAAAGACACCTTTTGGCATGACATCACGGTGAAAGAATCCAGCTTTAATATTAATTAAATTAATTAAGTAAACGAATTACAATTTCAACGTAAACTGAGCGATGTTTTTGACAAAAAGCGCGTGCACTATTTATGTTCGAAAAGTTATAAGCACGACGAGTCGTGAAAGAACACATGTTTATGGGAAGGGGAGAGAAAATATACTTGCTATACTTATCGCGGCATATCCCTGATAAAATATAATTAAAACCAAATCCGCCAAATCAGCGGCGCCGGCTATACAATATATTATAGCATTACCTGAACAATAAGCGACTGTAAACAGTGTGATTTAGACCTAAATGCTCTCTGCCAAACGTACAGCTTTAGCTAAGGTAGTTTTCTAGGCCTAGGCTTGTTTACTTGAAAAAATAAACGCTTTTGACGAGCTCTTTTGTTATTTATTGAACTACATGACTCGACGTTGATTACATAACATACGGTTATTCGGGTCAAATAGGGGTTACGAATAAATTCGTCAAAAATTCAATTATAAGTTGCCCCAAAATTTTATTTCATCAATAGCAAGCGAAAACATATTTCATTGACCTGGTTATGAATTTTTGTCTGAATCGATGTAACAATGGAGATATTCGCTGCCTAATATGGCATATAGCTAATAAAGAGGTTCAAAAATAAAAAAACATTAAGAAAATCTGTAAAATATTCACCTTTAAAAGAAATGTCTCTAAATTTCGTCTGCTACTCAATAAATAACTCTAATTTATAAAACGAAATCATATTTTGCGAAATAGTCCCATTATCGTGCAAAATTGAGCGATTTTGGTTGTGCCGTAAAATGACCTCTAAAAACCGAAAGTGGCCTGGGAAAACCAATTTCGACGTCTCTCTCCTTCAATATTTATCCGATCGAAATAAAACTTTCACAACATTAATATTTCATATAGGCCTACATTCTGACAAAGTTTGAAAGATTTTGAATTTTCTCATTTTACACGTTTTACCTGACTATTACAGACAACGGCTCTTAATACGTTATGTTAATTGGTTATTATAATCTCTGATTGGTTAATTGTAACGGTAGTGAATGTCAAATCTGAATCTTTCTACTTTACATTAATTTTTAAATTATGTTACTCAATTTTTAGCCAATAGCCACATATAATATTCGAGACAGTGCGTAGAATATAGACATACACAAATAATATTATTCATGGTAAAAAGAGATCGAGAAACCACCAAGCTAGTTTCGTGGCAAAACGCAACAAACATTAGCTACATTCACTATTCATTCATTCTGTTGTAACATGGCAGTGTTATACCATGCATGTTATTTAATGTATTCAATACTATATATTCAGTACTGTTATAATTATAAGAGGAAGACCTTAGGTAACCTTCCTCGCATGAGTAAGCAAATACTTAGAAAGATTAAAGAACCACGGAAAACGCCTAGTGCCACAAACCACGCAAACTGGACATGGTTTTGTGGTTGATCAACACTGCTAGAACTTGCTTTGACAATCTTATTGCGTAGAGGAAATTAGTCATAGTTATAGATTTCTTCCTCTAAAATTTATTATACAAGCTGAGCACAACCTGAGAGTCGAGAGCGGAGAGTGAAGTGAGAAGAGCCATTTAGGCTAAAATGCTTCATAAGCCAACAAAGGCTGAGGTATATAATCAAAAGGCTAGATAGTTAAGCCTTGTCAAGTAAACAAAGAACATTGGAATATTGTGGAATTATTAAAGAAGACGGAATACGAAGTATGAAGAATAAGGATTCAAAGTTGTGCTCAGCTCAAACAAATAGGGAGAGAAGTTGATATATTAAAAATACTATATTATTATAATATTATAGAGACGCTAATTCATATTGTTGAAAGTAAATAAAAATATATAAAAGGTATAAGGTTTCATGCTATTTGTGTTACGGTAGCGTTAATATAATTTGTACCCGAAGCCTAAAGGTTGAAAATATGCCTAATTGGAAAATATATTTGACGCGTAAATAACGCGCACACCATAACAGTAGGGGGTTCAGGCGGGAAAGAATAAAACCAGTCTAAACAGTTGCATTCTCCAATTGCATGCTTCATTGATAAGATCATTACCAGAAATATGGGACAAGATGGCGACGGACATGCGCGCTTTGACCAAATATGGCGACCAAATATTACTATAAACTATATGGGAGTTGATCAAAATATCAAATTTTAATATACTTTGTTTAAATATTTCATGGTTGCGGAGCTCGATTATAGTAGCGACACCTCTGTAGCGACACCAACAAGCAATATTTCTAAACAAAAATCGCTAGTATTGCACCGCGTCTAGCAGGTTCCTGAGAATGTTGTATTTTTACACGCAATTTGATGAATTTCATAGTGTAATTTATAGTAAACGTCTGACACAAGAGGTAAATATCCGACGAATAGACCAACATCCATTCGGGCGATGAAAAGTGCGGAGCTCGCAACATATTTAATGATGTCCAAGCTGTTAATTTAGCTAAATAAATCCGCTGTAATTCCCAGGGAAACTGGTTCCCGAAACGTTTAAAAGTTCGCCTTTTTACGGTTCTTGTATGTCGCCATTAGGCCATCTTAATATCCGAAAACGACAAGTTTTAATACAAATTTGAGCTGTTTCGAGCAGCCATGTTTCTTGTTTATTTTGAAAGACTAGATCCCAGGCTCTCACGTAAAAACACAGGGATATTTTAGGATTTTTTAGGATATTTGCAATATTTTTAGTCTTGATAAAAATTTGCGGGGTTAAAGGTCGAAATACCGGAAGTGATCAGCAAAAACTGCAAAATATGGTTTAAAATCACAGTTTTTGGTTGAATAATACTTGAACTGGAGATTCAAAGTAAAATGCGAAGTCGTTTTACTTATATTAGGGAATGTTGGGCATATAAAACGGACTTAGCCGCTGACTACAAAAGCGGGAGCAAAATGTCCCATATTTCTGGTAATGTATTAAGCGGAATTTAAAAAATTCATTCTGCATGCGTCATAGTGTTAAGTGTGAAACCAGATACTTTAATTGGTCTTAATTAAATAAACATGTCGGAATTTAACCCAGGCGATTTTATGGTGGAATCAACCATAGAAAATTTTAATAGTCTACGTAAAGATGACCTAGTTACGCTAGTCAAGCATTTATGACTAGAGACAAGAAGTACTTTAAGAAAGCGCGAAGTATACGATTTAATTAAGAAACGTTTTGTTAAAGACAAAAACATTCGAACAGTCTGTTTTCATGGAATAAAGTATAACTACAGTAGAAAATAGACGTATTAGTGAAGATAGTGAAATAAGCGAGAAAGACAGACAGTGGCAGAGAGATCATGAGAACATTTTGTGCGACAGAGAACGAGAGAAGCGCGAGTGGGAAAGAGAGGAGAAAGAAAGAGGATTTAGATTAAGGGAACAGAAACTAGAATTAATAAAATTAGAATTACAAGTTCAAGCAAACGGGCAAAATCATAAAGTAAGTTCGAGTCATAAATTTGACGTTACCAAACATGTGCGAATGGTTCCACCTTTCCAGGCACGAGAAGTCGACCAATATTTCTTACATTTCGAAAAAATTCCCACAAATTGCGAGTGGCCTAAAGACAGCTGGATGATGCTGTTACAATGTGTTTTAGTTGGTAAAGCTCGTGAAATCTTTTCGCAACTTTCGATAGAATTATCAGCGAATTATGATACGGTAAAGGAACTTATCCTTAATGGCTAAGAGTTGGTTCCAGAGGTATACCGCCAAAAATTTCGAAACTTCGAAAAAACTGACCATAAAACATATGTTCAATTCTCTCAAGAAAAAGAACAGTTGTTTGACCGATGGTGCTTATCCGAGAAAATCAATAAAGAATACAAAAATTTGCGACAACTGATTTTAATTGAGGAGTCCAAACGTTGTATTAACACCGAAGTCCGCACCCTTATAAATGAACAAAAACCTGACAGTTTCATTGCAGCGGCCCGATTGGCAGACGATTTCGCGTTGACTCACAAGACCACATTTGAAAAGAAGTCACAACCAAATAATTTTGACAACAGACACACACCGGCCAGAAAATCTCCGAACGATAACCGGGGAAAACATGATCTCAGAGCAGCACGTGACGACTAATTTAAGTTGGCGACGACCTGCACAAAATTTCCAGCCGAATAAACATCGGAATTTCCGAACAAACGAAATAATTTTCCTTTCAGCACCATCACTTGTGACTATTGTAAGCGTAAGGGACACACGATCTCAGATTGCTACAGAAATCCACAAAATCAAACAAAACCAACCGGCGTTATTTCAACACCGGACAACAACACAACATCTGTTTTTGATAGTAATAATGCTAGTGATACTCAAGAGGATTTAATAGAGGTCAAAGCCAATGCTGACCCTATAATGAAGACATTTGAACCATTTGTAAATACGGATAGTTTTTCACTTTTGAACGATCCAACACAAATTATTCCAGTTCAAGTATTACGCGATACTAGAACGTCTCAATCCTTAATACTGACAAACACATTGCCATTTTCTGCGGAATCATATTCCGGAAACAATGTGTTGATAAAAGGAGTTCACTCCAGCGATTATAGTTCAGTTCCTTTGGACAACATTCAACTGCACTCAGATTTAGTCTCCGGAGATGTTTCGATAGGTATCATCGATACTTTGCCTATCGATGGAATACAATTGTTAATAGGCAACGATCTTGCGGGTGAAAAAGTGACAGTCAATCCAATAGTCACAAACAAACCATGCTCAACATCAATTTCCGACGTCATTGAATCGAACAAGAAATTCCAAATTTATATCCATCGGTCACAAGAGCAATGGCAAAACAACAAGAATTAGAGAATAGTAAAAGAGATGAACTTGATTCATCCCATGATTTGGCCGATACTTTTCTTAGACAGCTATTTGATAGTGGCCCTAAAACAATACAGATTATGAAAAACGATGCGATAGACACAAAAAGCTTGTGGACATCTAATCTCATTCACGAGCAAAATAATGATCCCGAAATAGCTCTTCTAATTCAACAAGCTTTCGATGAAAGAGAAATTTCAGACCAGGCAATGAGATACTTTATCAAAAACGATATTTTAATGCGGAAATGGCGACCACCTGATGTTAGTGTTGATGACGAACGGTTAGTTCGAGGCTATCTTTAAAAGGGGGAACGGGGAATCGGGGAATGGGGGAACGGGGAATCGGGGAACGGGCAATCGGGTAATGGGGGAATATCATATTCCCCCTTTTAAAGATCTTTAAAAGGGGTAATTTTAAAGATCTTTAAAAGGGGGAATATTTAATATTCCCCCTTTTAAAGATCTTTAAAAAGGGAATATTCCAAAGGGGGAATATTGGAATATTCCCCCTTTTAAAGATCTTTAAAAGGGGGAATATCGCGACTCTGAGACTGATTTAATCCTCTTGACTTGTATTAAGAGTAGCACGGAATCTTTAAGCAGTCTACGAATTTTTTAAATTCACGCGCGTAAATTCTTTCAGACTGCAGACTATATACAGTACACAGACAAATTACACTGCGCGCATTGCAATTGATGGTTTGCTGATTCTCCGTACGGAAACTGCTATACTTTCGGTGTCTTTTGTCTGAATACAGACACTGTAATGTGACACTGCAACTTGTCAATATAGTTATTACTTTAATCCTAGCCTTGCGGCAAACACCTCTGGATAACACTTCAAAACATTAGTAACAACCGATTACTAAACATTTTATCTATATAAAACATGCTATTAGCCGGCAACATTTTTCGGCAAAATATACTTACTCTAGCAGAGACTTTTTCAAACCAAAAGTAAGCATTATTATTCAAAATGTCAATATTTTATACTGTAATATCACATATCAAAACATAACAACTTACTCAACTTAATGATAAGACATGCGTATAATGTATTATCTTTGTATTATGTACTATGTATTATTCGTATTATTCAATAGTACATAAGTCATGCAGTTCGGGACCGGTCATGAAGTGGGGAAGAGGCAGCCGGAAAGAATGGGGACAGGTCACGCATTAAATATTTGCTAAAACCATCAGCCATTCAATATTTAACACACATTGAAGGGTAGGTCACAGTAAAATCTGCTTAGATGGGTATAACAACGTTTTCTACTCATTGGGTCATAAAAAAGCACAGGAGACTGTTAATTAGTGCTATATTCCAACTATCTGAGACTTGAATCTTTTAAAATCTCCGTGTTCGGCACCAACTATGGTGGTACCTTCTTGTACAGTCTCCCTCCCCCGGCCGCACTTCATTACCAGTCCCTTTAAATTGTTTTCCAACAAATATAAGAGCTGTAATGTTGCAATGGCATAACCTTTTACAATTCTTCAGTTCATAGAAGTAACACAACCAACTTTAACAAAACTATTATAAAATAAAATTTTCTGCAGTGTCTTAATATAGGAATAGTTAATCGATACAAATGTTTGTGTTCATATGCTGTATACTTATAATTTCCTTGTAGTTTCCACGCATAGACGTACGCATATGATTCACTGTTCAGTTATATATTGATGGCACTTAACGATTGATCCCAAATTCATTAGCAAGTCTTTCGATATGTCCTGATCGAAAATAACGTGAGAAATCTTGGGAAATTACAAGAGCATTGCCGGTAAAGTGTGGGTATCTAATTCTGATACAAGCAGATCTCAGATGAAAATGAATGTTCACTGGTCCTCTGGAATATTGAAGTTGCCCGGTGTCTCGATCACGGTATTCGCGTATGTCCCTATACACAACAATCAAATCATCTGGGACAGTTTGTGGAGGATTTTGGATTTCTCCTCCGCACCCATAACAGCGAGTTACCGATGTTCCCATAACCCATTTGAGTCGGAATGATGAGTGGTTTTATGGGCTTATGGCAGGCATTTGGGGTGCTAGGTATTGTTGAGGAGCATGATCATGAGGGGATCCTGAAAATAGGGAAGGTAAATGATATGCTAGTTGCTGCGCAGGGGTCTGAGGGAATCCACACACCATGGGAGGTTGAATTGTTGGATTGAACTGAGGAGCTTGAGGGCCTCCACTACCAGACACCACGGGAGGTGGTTGAATCACTGGGCCAACACGGTGAGGAGCTTGGGATGCCTGAGGAGCTGCCGGAGGTATTTGGTTAGGAGTTGGCACTGGTTCGGCAATAAGATCTTCAAGCAGGTCAACCACTTGAGTTACATGAGGCTTCTTCTTATTCGACTTTTTCCGTGTGCTCGGCTTTCGTCCTGCATTCTTCGGAGCACTACCAAGTGCCATTTCAAGAACTTTTGGTCCTTTTTTAGATCTGCGGAACCATGCTAAAAACTCGCTCAATTTTTCACGCACTTGTGCAACAGCCAAGACGTGTTCGCATATTCTTGTCGAATTATTCACACAGTTTCTATCGCATTTCAGACATCCGCCCTTTCCAAGTGTAACGACGTGAATGGTGTTACTGTTGCCAGCGACAATAAATGATCCATCAGTTGCTCCTGGCTTCGGGATGACGTTGTCACGTTTTCGTAAAAGTTGGTTTGCTTTTTCAAACATAGCTTGGAGAATAGGCATCGGGACTGTGGTAATTCCGCTGTCTGATGCAGTGATGGGAAGGGTAATGGTTGCCGCAAGTGAATCTTGGCTTGAAATTTAATCAATTTCAACTTCTTTATTCAACACGACTTTCTTGGCATCCATGCCGCTTTTGACGTACTTCTCAACTTTCGCCATAAGCTGTTCGTGGGACATTTTGCTCCATGTCTTGTCATCCACGATTAAATGTTGAAATTCTGGCCGAACCTCGTATGGGCCTTTTCCGAATACGGCGCGATCTTCGTCTCGATACTGCCTCTCGATGATATTCTTCATTTCTTGTACAAACTCGTGAGGTTTCTTCTCATCAAATTTCAATCCGTGTTTGATGACAAAATTTGCTGATTCCGGATCATTATTTGTATATTCTCGAGGGGGATTTCCCAGACCAGCTTCCATTCGGATGGGCTTCAGCATGGACTCTTTAACATCACGTGCCTGAAAAATTAAAGTTTTCTTTCAAACTTCATAAGAAAGCTGTATTATGTATAGTGGGAAAAACTAAATGATAACCATGTTAATATAATTTATTATTAGCATGACAAAATTACTGGATGTTGATTGGTTGAAAGGAGTACAATTATTTCATTAATTGTACTGCAGTACAATTAATAATTTTCCCAAAACAAACAAAATGGCGGAAAGGTATTTTAAACACAAACGAGAACTGAAATTGCCCTTGAGGAACTAGATGAAAATACGAACAAAAGCAGCATATTTTGCTTTAGCAAAAGAACTAAATGAAAATACGAACAAAAGCAGCAAATTTTGGTTGAAAGTCTGGCAGGACCGGGCTTTGGCGAGAGAATATGATGTTGACATTGAGAAGTACGTATCCAATTTTGTTATGTTAATTAATAATGAATAAGTAATGTTGCTCGTACAATTAGGGATTAATAGTACCCGTGATGTTTGGAAATTTGCCTACGCCATCGCATGATTACCTATACTAATAAGCTGTTCTAAATTAAATTGGACGCTCTTTGGTTTAATAAATTTATTTATGTAGTCTGCAGTCTTGAATGGGTCATAATATTTTTTTATTATCACCCGTTGATAATAAAGTGTCGAAAGATTTATTAAACCAGAGAGCGTTGATCCAAAACTTAATTACGAGTCATCGAGTGGTTTCGCTTCAAGCATCTTCAAAAGCTATCCTCGTTGTAGAATTAGAAACACGGAGCATTTGTATAACGAAATTCTCTGTCAACACTGCAACGACGATTTATCTTTCAACAAAACTCTATTATATATTATTCGTTTATTGTAACCACCTGCTTTTTCATACAATTACCTTCTCTTTTACAAACCACTCGTAGAATGTGTTGGTCTTCTTCAATGTGCCGCGACTCTCCGCTTCTCTCCGCTTCTCTGGCCTCCCATTCGCTTTTCAATGCGATCAATTTGGCGTCAAACTCGTCTTCAGTATCGCAATCAACAAGACCTGCGTATTTTGTGCTCTCTTCTTGCTTTCCAAATATCTCATTAAGGAATTTCGACTTGATATCGGACGGCAGGCCTCGCTCACTCAATTGTCGTTGTACGTTATCTTTGATATGTATAAAACACCGTAAAAATAATGCGAAACGAAAGTTACGCTTTAACCCATCTATCAACGCCTTTTCACCGTCCGTTCCACATGCAAGCAGACCTTCGAGCTCTGGACATTCGGTTGTTAGAGAATTTGCAAATCTAGCATACGTCTTCCAGTCCTTACGCTGATGCATAAGAACTGGCCCAATAAAGACTGGTGGTTTCTTTGTTGCGTCTTTGTGAAGCTTCAGGTTTCTGTAAGTTGTAACCGTCAGACTAATATTTTCTTCAAAAATATTGAAAGTAGGGTCAACTCCGAAAATACAGAATTCGTGTGGATTAGTGCAGAAATGTTTGAGGTCTTGAAGTTGACGATCACTGGCTAAGATGACAAGGAAATCTGGATGGATTCTGCATTCACGAATGAATACTGAATCTTTTCCGTTTTTTTCTTCTCTCTTTGCATTTTCTAAAAGCTCCCAAATAGTATTTATTTCGGTTTCTTCATTTGTTGGCTGTTTTTTCTTCTTCGCAGCATGTCTGGCATTGTAGACGTCAGTTGGCCCTGACGAGAAATGAGAAATCAATGTTTTCTATCAAAATACTCCTCCTGTCATCGCCATGAAATACGGCACTCCCATTTATTCAACTAACTAGCGAGAACCTGAGTGGGAAACTGTTTAGGCCGAGGTTTAACAAGGAATTGAAATAGTGTAGATTTATAGATAACGTGTTTTGTAAGTTTTCTTTTTTTGGGGGGGGGGTTGTCTCAAAGTCACGTCTTATGATGGGGTGTACTGCTAGCTGCCGTCACACTGTCACAAAGAGGTGGGTAGAGAGGGGTAAAAAATTCGCAAAAACAGCGTCACGTATTTTGTGAATGGCCCCTAAAGCTTATTGTTAGGAGGTTTAAATTGTACTTCTAAGATTTGAAGTCTATGTCGTGCCTTCCAAAGTTGACATTATCTTTCTCACATCTTTACTCGACTTATTCACGTAATACACTCGCTCCAGTGTGACTACATGCGCTTGGCCTTGGGTACTCTCCTCGTTCGTTGTAGCTACGGGTGTTATTTTGCTGATCTTCCCTGACATTTTACGCAATACCGCAAAGGATCTCTTGGGGGAGCCCGAATGAAGCCATATACCCATGTCGTCACACGTTATGTCTTCTTCCATCTTCATCTTGGTGTTGTCGATCAGGAATGTTACATTATGCGCTATGTTAATTGGCGTCGCGACACAGAGGCTACCACTTTCTTGCTCATCCAGTAAAATATGTACCAAATGTTCGGCGGTATATGCTTTCTTGTTCCATGAGAATACCGGAGTAAGGGCATCGTCATGGTAGAGAGTTGACTCTGGAAGACGGTCAATCGTTGCAAATTCGTCGTCTGAACTACATTCGCTGTTTAAATAGAATAATATTCACGAAAATTCATCAAACATACTGTGAAAGACATACGATATGTATATACAGAGATAGAGTAGTTTTGTATATTGCTTATTTGTGCTTTGCAAAGACCGCTAGATGTTACACAAACGAGTATGAATCTATTTTTTGTAGGTATTACAGTGCCGTAGCCAGAACGATAATTGGGGGGAGAGCACATATTCATATATTCGTGTTCTTCTTTATTAATTTCTTTTGAAATCAATTGTTTTTATGGTATGTGAACACAAATATATGAATATGTGCCCCCCCCCCCTCCTCAATTATCGTTCTGGCTACGGCACTGTGGTATTAGCATTCTAGATCTATCGTGTGGGTGCTAAGGTTACTGAATATAATTCACAATACACAATACTAACATGTTAGTATAACTATACCTTGATCCTTTCTCGTCAAAGTAACTCTTCTTTTCAGGTGATTCTGCTGACGCATCCCTTCCACTTTCTTCGTCCAAATCTTGCAGGCTGATTAACTTAAGTTCATCACTTTTTACTAATTCAGTATCTGAAACGTATTGTTATTATGTATTGCCATTAATTATTTCATAATTATCCTATCTTAAGCCCTTATTTGTTTTGAGTTCATATACTAACCGTCCATGTCTTCCTGGCTGTCCTCAATAACGGTATAAGCAGGCGTAGTTACTTCCCCAGCACCTAAATTTATACATGATAAATTAAATTAATCTTTCACTAATGTTTGTGTGTTTTTGTTGAGGTATTTATTCATTTTTTATCATATAAAATTTGGTGGAAAGCAACCTTTATTCCTAAACCAAGTTTTCCACTGCGCGAAGTCGCTCGCCGCGCAAATTAAAAAATTCTGAATCCTTGTTCTTAACAAGTCGCGAAGAACTAAAATGTGAAAAAATTGACCATTTTGTCATTTATACAAGCACATGCGTTTGTCCCTATTAGGCCATCATTTAACTAGATCACTGAACAAAATCTGTTGAATATTGTACATGAGTATGGCAATTATATGACAAGAGGTACTAAGGGAGTGGTCATTATTTATGGGAGGGGGGTTGGTAAATGGGAAGGGGGGGAAACAAAGTTTTACCCTTATAAATAGGGGGGTCAAAAAAGTTTTAACGCAGAGAAAGGGGGTGAAAAAGTTTTTGAACTTAAATACCATGTCTACCAAATACCATGTTCTGATTTCTATAATCACAAACAGCAAAAAAAGACTCTGAAAATGCCATTCCCATCGATCTAGAGACTCAAAATTTTCAGAATTTTCCTGCTCGGCGCCAAACATGGTAACGCCTCGTGGGAGTCGGGCCCGCTACAACGCGATGTCGTTAACCCCAAATCGGAGAGTATGGTAGATCCTTTGTAATTTGCCGCAATCGCTGGATGCAAAACAAAGCCTGTCGAAGAATTTAGTGTAATATTAGCCTGATTTAAGTTACTACCATTCCTGCTTTTTCTATATTTGTATAGAGGTGAATTTTAACTATATTTGTCTATTTAACTCTATACAAAAATTCCGCACTAGGAATGAACTAAAAAGCAGGAAAAACAGCAACTTAAACTAGGCCAAAATTACACTAGACACATCGACAAACTTTGATTTAGCACCAGTGATTTCGGCAAGTTGCAAACGATCTACTATAATCTTAGATTTTGCGATTTACTTTATCGCGTTGTACAATCTACCGTTTACAGTTAAAGCCATATTTCAAAGTGATATGTAAATTTTTTATGGAATTAGAATAAATTATGTCCGGGATTTCTGGCCATGTGTTTCAGAAAATGCTCCCATTCAGTCCTAGGGGTGGATAAATACGAAAAAACCCTACTAGTACATACTACACCGATCTTTTTGTCACCAACAACCATCTGTCATCTGCCTACACTCGGTATATTATGGTCCCTTTTTACAGATGCCCACCCTCCAGACAAGTTCTTAAAAATTTCGCTGTATGAAGACGGGCCATGGGTTAGGGTTATGGTAGGACAAATGTTGCATTGCAAAGTAGTAACACATAATATATATCTTTTAATCATATATGGTTGAATCATATTCACCAGGGTAAAACATATTCACCAGGGTAAAACCTATTATCCCCGAGCCGACGGCGCGAAGCGCCGTGCGAGGGTACTAATTCCCCCCGGCTATTTACACCCGGGGAAACGAAAGCATTAGCGGAGTCTAAAGGTCATCAAATATCGCGGGCGTGGGTGACCAACGATGGGTGGTCATCCTCACTGATCTCAAAAATATGGCGGACTGTCATGAATAGCGGACACTGATTGGTCCAATTTAAATTCTGCATTATAACGACTGGCACGACTGCATCACGACAGCGAAATAGCAAACATTTGTTGATTTGATGATTGATAAACTTCTTGCAAATACATTTCATTTTTACTCGCATTTTTCCAAGATTTTGTAAATTTCAAAAGCTCTCTCAAAATGAAACTGCGAAAGAATCGGCTGAAAGAAGGGAGCCGACGTTAACGAAGGTAAGTTTGTTTTAAATATTGATTTTATAATGACTTTAAAACCCGACGGCCTTTGCGTATATGAAACAACTAAACAAACAGCATATAATTTTAGTGTATCTTTAATATTGATTCCCTTTTTCATTATATTGAATTTCTAAATAAAAAAGAAAGCACTGAGTTATTTGCAAGCGAGAATTTGAAATCATTTTATTGCAAACTCAAAGTTTATCGATAAAGCCATTTTAAAAGGCAGTTTAGTTTTATAAAGAACACTAGTGACTTTAAAACGTTTTGCGAAGCGTTTGAGGTTGAATTTTACCTTAAATTGAGGCTTATATTACGTATAATAACACACCTAACATATATTTATGTTGGGAAATTAATAATTTTGTCATTTAAAGTGATATTTTTAGGCGATTTTTCATTTGTAAGAATATTCTTAAAAAATTATCGTGTTACCATGACAACTACTTTAGAACTTCATGTTCGGAAAATACAATGGTTTTGTCAGCAAGGCGAGGGTTTCTGCATGCATGTATTTTCTAGTCTAACTTTACCTGCAACGCACAACTGTTTCATTGTGTAAATTTTTCAATCCACACTGGGGGAGGGGTCGGAAAAGTTTCTACTTTTATGAGGGGGAGGCACAAAAAGTTTGCCTTCAGTCTGGACGGGGGTCCAAAAAAGTTTCCAATCCTTATTTTCCCCATTTACCAACCAAGATAGATAATGACCACTCCCTGAAACCTAATAGTATACGAGCTAATAATATGCATGAACCGAAAATTACTTGATTCTGATTGCCCAACAGAAGTGCTATTTTACCAAATACAGTGCGAAAAAAAGTATTTCAGTGCCAAATCTTTTTTTTAAATTTGCCAAAAATCATTTTTGGCTCTAAACAAACAAAACGACACGCGTCCATATAAATTTATCTCACTTGTCAATGATAACACTCACCTTGTTCTTGAGTTTCTAGCTGAGGCATCAACCATGCAAAACTTTGTAGCTCCTCCCCGTTTAAACCACTTGTTCTTAAACGCTTTAAAATCCACTGCACTAAGAGCATACCAGAGCGTTGAGTTAAATCTTTTGTCGTAATCACAATGCCATTGCCATCGCCTCCAAGTTCTTCGCCAATGGGATGTGTATCGACCACGAAGTATGAATTGTTGTGCACACCTGCCAAAAACGTGTAGGGGCTACAAGTGTAAAGGCCAACTCGATTTTTCGCTTCCGGCTGTAGCTTAGTTAGAGCGGCAATGAGTTCTTTCCTTCCTGCTTCTGAGAATACGCCGTTGGCTGATACGCATTCTTCAGTGAGGTCGTAATTTGCTACTAGCAGAGCATTTGCTTCTAAAATAGATTTGGCTTCTGATGGCTCATACATTTTGTTTGCATCTCTTACATTGTTAATTTTTGAGGGAAGAGTGGTTAAGGCTTCTTCTGCCAGCTCTACCAAGTTTTCACATACGAAATCTTGATTTGCTATTACTGCTTGTAAAAATGCATCGCCTATTGCAACTGCTAAAAAGGCACAAGCGTTAGTTGCATCATTCTCGGGGGTTTGTTCTTCAACACCTTGACTTTCTTCTGCGAATTTTCTTTCACTCGATATTTGACGAGCAAATTCCAAATCAGCTGTTCTAGTGCAGTGTTTTGGCTCAGCCGAAGCTTTTTCACACTAAGAGATGATTCAAGATCTTCACTCCTTATTATACGGAGAACATCTGATGCTGCTGGTCGTAAATTTGGCTCGAAATTTGCACACAAATTGAAAATTTCGTCTATTTGCCACCACTCGCTCACTCGCAAGACTTCGTATTTCGCATCATGATCAGGAAGAATTTGTTCTTGCATAAAATGTTTCATAATGTCCAAATTAAACGCAGCACCGAAGCTTTCCGACTCCTTGCGATACGGACTATGAAGGTTAGGATTGATCATAGCGTACGCCAAAATCCCGAAGGACCAGATATCTGCCATTTTCAAGTCGTCCTGGCTTGCATTGGTTAACTGACGTGTATGGATTTCAGGGGCCATATAAACCGGCGTACCACGGCATATATCATCCGTCCTTGATCGCAGGACAGATTGAGTTTGAGCGTCCAAAGACCTGCTTAATCCAAAGTCTGCGACCTTGCCGACAATCGGACACTTTGCGTACATTTCAGCAACAAATGTTTTATCCTTGCTATAACAGTAGTGCTGATTGGAAACTAACACATTGCTTGGTTTCAAATCCCTGTGGACAATGTTGTGCCTGTGTAGATAATCCAAGCCAGCCACAGTATCTTTAATGCACACCGGTAAAATATCCGCAAATGCGTTGAAATCGAATTCGCCGTCGACATAGTGGTAAAAATCTTGCAGATTACACACCACATTCTCGCTGTCAAATGGACTAAAATCAAACCCTGCATATTCCATCATTAAACCATGCGGGTTGTCGGAATACCCAAGAAACGTTGGTATATTGTCATGCGCAGAAATTCCACTCAACATTTCAGCTTCCTTCAAGAATCGCCGTTTACTTTCGATAGATTCTCCCTTGAGTTTCTTGACCACAACTTTACGGGCATTTACTCCATAGTTTGCCAAAAGCACTGTGCCAAAACTCCCATGACCTAACTGTTGATGGTCTTTCAATAAATTCCAGTCAAAAGACAGAAGCCATGACTTTTTTTCGGTCGCTTTACAAGACTTGGAACTCGGAAGCTATTGAATAGACCTGACATAGCAACGTCGAAAAATAAAACTATTTTCCCGATTTTTATGTTGTTTTCTCTTTAGTTACTGTAACGTCTGCCAAGACATTGGCACGGAAACTACTAACAGATGCTGTAATGCTGTGTTATCCAAAGGTGTTTGCGGCAAGGCTAGGATTAATGTAACTAACTATATTGACAAGTTGCAGTGTCACATTACAGTGTCTGTATTCAGACAAAAGACGCCGAAAGTATAGTAGTTTCCGTACGGAGAATCAGTAAAACATCAATAATTGCAATGCGCGCAGTGTAATTTGTTTGTGTATATAGTCTGCAGTCTGAAAGAATTTACGCGCGTGAATTTAAAAAATTCGTAGACTGCTTAAAGATTCCGTGCTACTCTTAATACAAGTCAAGAGGATTAAATCAGTCTCAGAGTCGCGATATTCCCCCTTTTAAAGATCTTTAAAAGGGGGAATATTCCAATATTCCCCCTTTTAAAGAATATGAAATACTCTTTTAAAGATCTTTAAAAGGGGGAATATGATATTCCCCCATTCCCCGTTCCCCCATTCCCCGTTCCCCCTTTTAAAGATAGCCTTTCTGTCTCTGAATCTGAACTTTCTTCAACAACATGCACAGGCTTTACAGAAGAACGACATACCCTGGCGAAATGATTTCTTCCTTGGCATTTATGACAAGTCTGTCCGTTTGCAGGGCAGTTGCGCAATTCGTGATCGTGAATTTTAATACTGTAAGGCATATTGTGGACATTTGACTAAACTGACAATACTCGACTTTGAACAAACAATAGTTGATAAATTCTTAAACTCTTTCATATACATAATGGCCATAAAGTAGGTAGCCATAGACATAATAGTCTTCATAGCAGAGATATGAACCCTGTTTCCCTCGATATTCGCAACTTTATTAAACCGGTTCATCACATCGATAAATAAACACTGACTATATAAACTAATAAGTTCTTTGTATGTTTGCATGGCGATAAAACATATAATAGTTTTGTTTGTGGAAACACCACGTAAATTTATTACTGCAATTCCAAAGCTTTCGATCCGTAAGCCCGGATCTTCATCACTGCTATTATTATTATTATTATTATTATTACATATTATTAGCACTGGTGAAGATCCGGGCTTACGAATCGAAAGCTTTGCAGTAATAAATTTACGTGGTGTTTCCACAAACAAAACTATTACATATAAACAGGGGTGACACCCCCAGTTTTAGTGAGGTAGTCGGTAAAACGCGAAGTTACTCGGTAATGGCAAGAGCCATGACAGCGGTCGGTAAAACAAATCGGTTAAAGTGGAATTTTGCTCCTCGGTAAATGGCTTTTAATAATTGCTGCCGAGCCTCAGCTCGGCAGCACACTATTCTTAACGTTACATGACGTTCTTGCTTTTTCGTGTCCAGTCCCCGCGGCCGAGTTATGTATAGTCGAACAGCGATTTTCACTCGGTGGAGATTTCGGCATTCCAGGGGGCTCATTAAGTATTCAAGTTGGTTTGTAAAATGAGGGGGTTGTTCAACAAAATTTTCTTCAATGATGGGAGCAGGCTGCTCAAATATGTGTCTTTTAAGTGTTTCACCTGAAATTTTCAGTACATAAAGTAGTAATATCTGTATGTTTAGTTCATATACTTAGTGTTTATTTATCGATGTGATGAACCGGTTTAATAAAGTTGCGAATATCGAGGGTAACAGCCTGGGTTCATGCTACCAGCTACCTACTTTATGGCTACCTACTACAAATCGCTGGCTACTACCGGGTGGCCCAAAAAAAAGTACTCCTGTTTGATTCGTAATAACTTCTAAACAAGTAAAGTTTTTAAAGAGAAATAACTTGCATTAAATAGAGGAAGGACTAACTTAGATTTTGATATATTACAGTTGTATTTAACTTAAAAATTCACGGAGATATTAATGTTAAAAATGGGGAGCATATTTTGGAATGTGTCTAAAATTAGCGAAAATCGGCATCAAATATTAACTCCAGCGTTTGTTTGCTTAATGACATATTAGGCTAACTTGTATTTCAGCGAATTATCGTTAAGGTTTGTAAGGGATATGGCGTAGATTTAGACATCTTACATGTAAGTCTTAGCTCATTGTTTCCTGAAATATGAACGTTCGAAATTATGCAAGTATTTAATATTAGGTCTTTGCAAACTTAAATGTACATGAAAGACTGACCATGGAAGGCAGGCGCTTAAATTTTTCGTATTCTTAAATAGCCTAATTTTTTATGTTTTTAATGGGTTCAAACAGACTGAGTAGATTATTTCTCGGTTAGAGCAGGATGAATATTCTTTATTGAAGGAAATAATATATTGCTTTTTGAAAATACACATCACCGTATCAACGCTACTATTTTGTTACGTTTTGTTCCAAAAATGTTGCATGTCTCTGGGGAGTTGCTTAATTGTTATGTCTTATGGAGTTGTATGGTTTGATTGTGTTTCATATAATTCTCGGTTTACTCCATGAACTTGCCAAGATTAAGAAACGGCAAAAGAGTTTGGGTGTTCTTAACAAGATTTCAGAACGTTGCAGAAGTTAGAAGAGCTTCACAATTCCGTTGTGACAGCATGCCCTAATTCAGAACTACGAACGATCCAATGACGATCCTTCGCGATGCAGTGGTCTCATGAAATAAGGAAACGTATTCGTGCTAGGAACACACGCGAATTTCAGACGAATGAATCTTGCTTGTATTTTGTAGATATAATAATACTTTGTTTCATAATAAACAATTTGTCAAGTGTCATTTATTTACTGGTAATAGTGCATGTTTCAGTCGGGCAAATCTTGATTAATATTTGATACGCCGATTTTTGTATATTTCAGACACATCCAGAAATATCCTCCCGAATTTAAAGATTAATATCTCCGTGAATTTTTAAGTGAAATACAACTGTAATATATCAAAGTCTAAGTTAGTCCTTCCTCTATTTGATGCAAGTTATTTCTCTTTAAAAGCTATACTTGTTTAGATGTTATTACGAATCAAACAGGAGTACTTTTTTGGGCCACCCGGTATATATATATATATATATATATATATATATATATATATATATATATATATATATATATATATATATATATATATATATATATATATATATCGTCACGAAATCCAGGAAGTATGACCATGCACGTAACTCCACTTCTACGTGAATTGAATTTGCTCTCAGAAGACAAACTACTATATTTTAGAGACGCCAGTTTGACCTATAAATGTGTGAATAACCTAGCACCCGATTACCTTTGTAACAAATTGATAAAAAGGCCATCAATCCACGACCGTAGAACTCGTACACACGACTCTCTTCAAATACCTCTATTTAAGACTGCAGCTGGCCAACGATCATTTACATATAGAGCCGTCCATATTTGGAACAATTTAGACAAGAACTTGAAAGACTGCATGCATGCTCTTCACTTAAAATTTTTAAAGTAGCATTTAAAAAACGTTTCCTTGCAAAAGACAACATTTAGTAGGCTTTTACCAACTAAACTTTGTATATAGTCTTTGATAACTGTTTAAACTTATATTTGTAACCTTAATTATTAGTGCATGCATGTAACTGTAAATAATTTCTGAAAAACCCATTTAGGGAGAAATTTATTAAATATCTATCTATCTATCTATCTATCTATCTATCTATCTATCTATCTATCTATCTATCTATCTATCTATCTATCTATCTTGGGCGATCTTGTTAGCATATAATTTGTTTTCTTAAAATTAATAGAGAGTTTGTTTTCAATACAGTATTTCAATATATGCATGTTTGAGTTCATCGTTGATTGTTTTTACAAATTCATTTATATTGTTTGAAGAATGGAAAATATTCGTATCATCAACGAAAATTCTAAATAGAAGTTTTTTCGAGCAGCTTGGTAAATCGTTAATATATAGTAGGAATAGCAGTGGGCCTAAAGTAGATCCCTGTGGTACACCACATGCATGTCATGGTTTTCATACTTGATTCTGTTTCACCCGTTTTAACATATTCTTTGCGATTAGATATATCGCTTGAGAACCAATCATGTGTTGTTCCGCTGATTCCGTAGGAGGTCATTTTATCTAGAAGGATTTTATGGTCAATAGTATCAAAAGCTTTAGAAAAATCTAAAAAGATTGCGCATGTTACTTTATTTTCGTCTATTGCAGTTTTTAAACATTCAATAGTTTCGAGAATGGCATGCTCTGTAGAGTGTCCCTTCCTGAAACCGAATTGATATTCGAAAATAATTTTTTGTATTTCAATAAATGGAAAACCTTAATTGTACACAAGTCTTTCTAGCACTTTGCTGAAAGGAGAGATAATTGCAATTGGTCTATAATTTCCTAATTCTGTTGAAACACTACATACTTTTTCGGGTCAAGTAGGGGTTACGAAAAAATTCGTCACCAATTCAATTCTATAAGTTCCCCCAAAATTTTATCGATGTAACAATATGGAGATATTCGCTGCCTAAGGCCTAGTTTATACGTCGAATTTCAGTCGAATGTAATTCGTCGAATTTAATGTGACAATTATGCGACTGAAATTCGACCGAAGTGTTGCGTGCACTGAGCTATAAATATATGGAGAGCGCAACTATAGATACAGAAATTGAAGCCGGAAGTCGCGCGCGGCCGCCATCTTACTGTGACCACCTTGAGGAGTGAGCTTTTGTGATTAATACGGTATTTTCAACTGTTTTGTTCTGTTATCTCGCAATAGAGGAACAAATCAAGTCAAATATGGCATTTTAACCAAAAGCACATGTTCAAGAATGTTGGGGACCTCTTTTACATTCAAATGAACTCAATCGTAAAGAAACGTGTCTATATTTTTGACGACGTTTCTGAGTCAGCGACTGAGATGAATCATGAATACAGTCGTGACAACACCTTTCAAATGGGAATTTCTGATAGAGATCGGTGAATTATACCATAAGTTAACACATGAGAAATTGGTCATGAACTTTATTGTTTTGGAAATGGTAAATTTTATATGGACAAGACTCGTATTTGTTTCTATCAACCTAATCAACGCAAACAAATTATGTCGCTTGTGGGATTTGTTAAAGGAACAAATGATTCAGGATGGTAGAAAGAATAGCAGGTGCGTTGTAGTGATCTTATTTATGTTAATGGTGGGTGCTTAAACGCAATGCCTTGTGAGAATATATACCATCCCATCCCTACTTGTGTAATATGTTCCTTATTAAAGTCATAGTCATGATTAATAATCACTCTTCTGAGAAGACCTCAATGTTGTTTTATTCCAAAGAAGCAGATTAAAATTAATAAATTTGAAAGAAATTGAAAGTTGTAAAATAATGGTATCTCATTTCTGTGCTTTTTAGATCCTATAGAGACAGTATAAAGTGAAGATGGAACAATGCTGCAAACAGTTACTTTCAGTTGCATGTCTAGATATGCATTATATTGCATTGTGTAAAAACAATTTAATTGTAAAGGGTCTCTAGTATTATAGGATATGTGTAAAATTCCAGTAGTTTGTTGCCAAAGACTCATTTAGTGTCTTTTGCCAAATAAAGTTTAACTGCCTTGTACGAGGTAAAAATGGTTGTAACAAAAATGCAGGTTGAAATCAAGCCTTCAAAAGCATTAAACCCACATTAATATTTGCTCTATCTAGTGCCAGATGATTTTACTCATTAGTTAATTACTGTAATACTGCAAGTAAACTGTTTAACAGAACTCGTCTATCTGTATACATGGTCATTACTCCACTGTTGTCACTGCTTTGTTTTTAGGAGCCAACCATTTAACTTTTGAGGGGGGGGGGGTTGAGTTTGAAAAAAATTTGCTGCAAGGCTATTCTGAACCAAAAAATACCTGCACTAACAGAGGGAAAAATATCCTGCCCCATTATTTGGTGGGAAAATGTTGCAAAACACCATGGTTGCAGGGATCGATTTGACCAGTCACAGAAGATAAGCTGGTTTTATTTTCAGGGACTAGTGTATGGTTAATTTCTTGTTGGAAAACTCCTCAATGTGAGCTTCAAGAAATCCAAAATTTTCTGGGGGGGCATGCCCCCAGACCCTTCTAGAGGCTCCCACCTTTGATGGTCGACTCGGTTGTCTCAGAATCCTAGGTATCACTATGGCCTGATCTGCTGCCCTATGGTGCATACTTATTAGTTAAACTATGCATACATATGCTGCAATTAGCTGCAGAAACACATACTTGCCGACTGGAACTTCTCCAGGTCCCCCGCTAAATATGTCCCTTCCAGTTACACATCCTTACAGGGCCGTAGCAACCAGGGAGGTTGCAACACCCCCCCCCCAATAATTTGCTAATAGTCATTTTCAAAATCATGCAGACCTTTATCATTTAATCCAGGACAAACTGCAAAGGATGAAGTATTACCCATATTTTGCTGCAACTTATCCAATATATAGTTCATTAAATACGCCTTCGTCCATTTAGTACTACTAAATTGTAAATTTCAACATACTAAAACGCTAGTTTCTGACCTTCAGAATTCTGTCAAATCTTCCCCAAAGTTCAGGAAATGGCACTTCAGAGACTTTACATTTAAAAATTTCCTCGGGCCTTCGGCCCTCGCTTTCAGCCCCCCCCCCAATCGAAGAGCTTCCTATGGCCCTGCCTTAAAAGAGTCCCTGAACCAAATGTTATATATCTCATAGCAATATGTATTATTAAAAGCAATGCATGAAGCTATAAAACTCAACAAAAGATCCATACTCCCCTCACGGAGGAAATTTCTGCCGTCCGGAGAGGAGAAAAATTTGTTTCTGATAATAGTAAATGTATTAGGACATCCGAAGGGGGTAGGGGGGTTAACTTCCTTTTTCTTCTGTGGGGGTGGTATGGATGTTTTCTGGAATGACCCAATAGTATAAGCTATTGAAAAAAAATGCTGCGAAAGAGAGTGGAAAAAAAATCATACATGGTGATGGGATAGAAAAAAACTTGCACATAATGATCCCAGAAAAAAACTCCCTGCCAGCAGTAAATCACCCCCTCCCCCCCTCAAAAGTTAAATGGTCGGCCCCTCAATTCATTCGTTTCTTAATAGTTTTGTCTTTTTACTGTAAAATGACTAAAGTAAAAGTACTGTTACTGTAAAATTACTAAAGTAAAAGTTTGTAAGCAGTACTGTAGTGTATTTTAATGCAATTGTAATGTGTGTAGTTGTGTCAAGGCAGCAGTCAGTCTCATAAAATATACATATTATGCTGTTTATTAATTGATCTGTATTATTGAGGGCAGAACATATATTAACAATGTCACAATTTCTTGAAACCTAAAAGCCAGATTTACTCCATGAAGAAAAGACAAAGCTAAAATAATCTCAGCAGGTTGCAGTATTCAGTCAACAAACAATGTTTTATAACCAATACATTTTTTTATGATTAGGCTGATAGATTTCACACAGATCCTATAATACTAGAGACCCTTTACAATTAAATTGTTTTTACACAATTATGCAATATAATGCATATATAGACATGCAACTGAAAGTAACTGTTTGCAGCATTGTTCCATCTTCACTTTATACTGTCTCTATAGGATCTAAAAAGCACAGAAATGAGATACCATTATTTTACAACTTTCAATTTCTTTCAAATTTATTAATTTTAATCTGCTTCTTTGGAATAAAACACCATTGAGGTCTTCTCAGAAGAGTGATAATTAATCATGACTATGACTTTAATAAGGAACATATTACACAAGCAGGGATGGTATGGTATATATTCTCACAAGGCATTGCGTTTAAGCACCCACCATTAACATAAATAAGATCACGTATTACAACGCACCTGCTATTCTTTCTACCATCCTGAATCATTTGTTCCTTTAACAAATCCCACAAGCGACATAATTTGTTTGCGTTGATTAGGTTGATAGAAACAAATATGAGTCTTGTCCATATAAAATTCACCATTTCCAAAACAATAAAGTTCATGACCAATTTCTCATGTGTTAACTTATGGCATAATTCACCGATTTCTATCAGAAATTCCCATTTGAAAGGTGTTGTCACGACTGTATTCATGATTCATCTCAGTCGCACTCAGAAACGTCGTCAAAAATATAGACACGTTTCTTTACGATTGAGTTCATTTGAATGTAAAAGAGGTCCCCAACATTCTTGAACATGTGCTTTTGGTTAAAATACCATATTTGACTTGATTTGTTCCTCTACTGCGAGATAACAGAACAAAACAGTTGAAAATACCGTATTAATCACAATAGCTAGTATAGCTCACTCCTCAAGGTGTTCACAGTAAGATGACGGCCGCGCACGACTTCCGGCTTCAATTTCTGTATCTATAGTTGCGCTCTCCATATATTTATAGCTCAGTGACGCGGAGCTCGAAATCCGCCATGTTTTTGCGAACACTTTTTTGTTTGACGAGATATGGGAGCACGATCTCCAGATATATATAGTAGAGCTCAATGGGCGAGACACGAGGAAGCCCTGGTCTGGGCCGGTCACGTGATGACAAAAAATGGCAGTATTTGACAGCTACTCGTCAAGGAGTGGCGAGATATTCTTTAATGAAATATACAAGTTTTCGAAACAAATAAATAGCCAAAAGATTTCTCAATCGATATTATTTATGTGTAGAGCGAAGTTTGGCACGAATCAGCTGAAATCTATGAAGATCCCGTCTATGTTTTCTAAGATATACCGATATTTCTGGAGATTTTCAACTACAGGCAAAGCTGGATCCAAGCTGCATCTAGGCGTCTCCATGCAAGTGGTGATTCACACGAGATTTCCTTTCTCTCGTCTTGAACAATATGGCTATTGCTATAATTAATATTTAGTTTAAATATGTCTTATAGATCTGACTTAGTTCAATATAAATAAACACAAATATAAAACCTCGCGTAACCTGTTTACGCTGTACAGGAATATACGGATTCGCTTGTTTCGCCGGACACCAACACTTGCCGTTCAGGAGCAATGCTTGCCTACAAATCTTATCCCCTTCACAATCGATATCTTTGTTTTATTTTATCGTATAGTCGCAGTTCTCAAGTAATCGGGGTATTCTGAAACTGTAAAACTCGGTGGCGTGCGAATCTTGTAGAGACTACATCGGCTTAGGCGTAGAGCTATTAAGTAAACCACAAGCGGCCCAATCTTACCCTGTGTTATTAATTTATTACTTATATCTTTATATAAATAGCAGTATATTGAAAATCATTAGAAAATCCTGTGTTGTCAATTTATTACGTTATATCTTTATATAATAGTATAATGAAAAGCGCTTACATGTGTTTCCTGAAAGATTTTAACAGAGGCCATTCGCTAACTCCCCAAACGTTCGCTCTCCACCGGAAATGTCCTGTTGTTGTTTTGAAAGCCGACCAATGACAATGCAGCGTGTAATTCGAATTTGAAGGCCATCCATTCATACCGATTACAAACCTCGGAAGATTAGACATTTGTAAGTTTCAATTCGGCATTTTCTTTAGGAAGATATTGTTAAATTCTGTTAAAGAAAAGTATATTATGTAAAAATTATCGCTCTTCCGATGTAACGTAATTTGGCGAGGATGCGACAGCCGAAGTTGGCGTTATTCGATTGATTTCTGTCAGCGTTTGTCCCAATTAGTCCAATTAACGGTCAAAGTGACCAGCTTTGTATTATTTCTTGCTGTTAAATGTCAACCCCAACTATGGCCGGTTAACCTCTTTCTTCTTGGCCGGTTCTCGTTAATTAAAATCTTTCAGGAAACACATGTAAAATACAAAACAATCGAAACTCCGAAGAAATTCATATTTTTAATTTAATAATAATAATAATTTAATTATAATAATTATTGATAATTATTATTAATTATTATTAATTATTATTTTAATTATTATAATAATAATTTAATTTAATTCATATTTTTAATTTTTTTAAAAATATTTTTTATTTATTTCTTCGGAGTTTCCATTGTTTTGTATTTTATTAGAATACTCAGTGATTATCGAAAACACATGTAAGTGCTTTTCATTATACTATTATATAAAGATATAACGTAATAAATTGACAACACAGGATTTTCTAATGATTTTCAATATACTATTTATATAAAGATATAACGTAATAAATTAATAACACAGGGTAAGATTGGGCCGCCTGTGAGTAAACAGGGCCTAAATTAATTTAGTAGTTTCATTTAATTGTTTGTCTTGCTTTTATTTGTCAGTACAAAATATTGTAAATTAAAATATTACTACAATGCTATACGCGTAGTATTTCATCAGACATCTGCACAAAAATACTGTACAAGGAAAACTGCAGCTTAAATAATAGTAGACGTTTCTTGTTTTGTCAGGAAACATCACAGCTTACTTCGACACGGCTTTTGAGTTTTGTAACCGGCCGAGGCGAAAGTATGAAAATCATGCAGTCGGGAAAACGTCTTACTTTGAAAGATTATTTTGCAAAACATACTCGTACATACAAGAATCATAAAAATACAAATGTTGATTGTTATTGTCAACTGTCAAGTTCAGTTATTTTTAGACAATATGGTGTTAGCCAATCAGAATGCAAAATTGACCGGCCCAGACCAGGGCTTCCTCGTGTCTCGCCTCGTCCTCACACTGAAGCCCTGGGAACGAGGTTGAGCAGTTGTAGATATGGTTCCAAGAAGAATAGATTTAGTTTAAATGTTTAACTGTTAAATACATGTATTTATTTATTTATTTATTAAACTTCGCCACTTACAACAAACAAGTGGCAGGGACACCACAACAGTATACACCAATTACTGTGGGCCCTTTAAAAATTGCTAAATTTTAAGAATACAACACAAAACAACATATCACAAAACAAAACTACATCGCACAGAACAAAATTGAATATTATGTAATGCAGTGCAATGCAATACAATGCAATACAATGCAATACATAGCAAAGACAAGATTCAACTTCCACCGCCACTACCGCCACCAACAATATTATTATAGTTTATCGAGCTAACCAATTACATGCACATCAGGTCAGCGAGAGGTAGCGGTAGTGGCGGCGAAAGCCAAATCCCAAACTCGCTAAAAACAACAAGAGATTGGATTATCCAGACTTCGAGCCTTGTTGCACTTTAGGCAGATACTGTATGCATCATCATAGCGATTAGAAGCGAACTTTCTCTAAGCCTCATTTAAATGTAATAATTTTCTTTTTAGTAACGACCAGAAGGCTTTATTTTTATAACAAATTTAATAAATTGTAACAACGTTTCGGAGTTTACTCCATCATCAGGTTACATTTATACGCACTAAAAAACCGTTAAAGCATGCGACCGTTATTAGCTCGCGTGTATGCGCTTGCGTAAACATATAATTGACGTGTCCGAGAATTTAAATATATCAATTAGATAAATTAGAACTAAGTGTTTTAACGAGCGTGTCCGAAAATAGTATATAAATCCTTACACTAGAAAATTTGTTACGCTAAGCTGTCCGTATTTATTGTTCAAATCTGGTTTTAGCTTCTGGATGAATAATGCTTCTGTGATCTTTCGGTCCAATGAGCCACTTGTTTTCTTCAGAATTTTCACAGTTAACTTTGGTTCCTGTCCAGGGTGGCACTCGATATAGTGCCTGGAAAAAGCCATGTTCTTATATGATGGTGCTGTGGGATTAGCTGCGGAGCGGTAGTGTTCTTTATAACGGTCGTCTAAAGGTCTACTGGTTTCACCAACATAGCCTCGTCCACACAGATCGCAGTTAATTAAATAAACGACGTCTTTCTGCGAGCACTGCACGGGAATAGATGAGTTGTGGCAAATAGGGCATTTGGAAACGTCTTTGCACGACTTATCGTGGGGTCTTAACTCGACAAGGAGGTTCTTGAGGGAGCTTTGGGGTCGTTGAATTATTCGTACGTTCAGGTTAGAACGTTTAACCGCTCTTTTGATGTCGTTCGTGAAGCCACTTGACACATACGGGTCACGGGATAGTCAGCGTGGGGAGGGATTCTTTCTGTTTCTGTGTTGTTTTCTTTCTCTGCTTGACTCGATCAACGTAGCTGTTATCATAACCGTTCGGTATAGCTCTTCTTTTGAACGTCTGCTCAGCTTCTTCGAGTAAGGCGTCACTCG